AGTAGTGTAGCTCGAGAGAGTCTCTCGGGAGGCTGGATTAGCCACAAGTTGTGGTGAACCAGGGTAAAATCGGTGTGCCTCTTACTCTTCTCTTTACTTCTCGTTTATTCATTTTTTATTCCTGCGATTTTTGATCAAACGCTATTCACCCCCCCTCTAGCGTTAGTCTCTTATTCTAACAATTGGTATCAGAGCCTAACTCGCATCCAAACTTAACCGTTTGAGAGTAAAGCGATCATGGGCTCTTCTTCTAGAAATCTCTATGTAGGAATTGGAGAAGGTCAATCAACTTCTAGGCCACCACTCTTTGATGGCACCAACTACTCTTATTGGAAGGAACGGATGAGAATCTACATTCGTTCCACCAACTTCCAATTGTGGTTGGTGATCAAAAATGGCGAAGAAATCCCTATGAAGAAAGTGGGAGAAACCACGGTCCCAAAGACCGAAAACGAATTTGATGCCGAGGACATCAAAAAGGTCGAGAATTATGAAAAGGCAATAAACATGCTTTATTGTGCCGTAAATCCTGATGACTACCGCAAAATCTCTTGCTGCTCAACCGCCAAGGAGATGTGGGATAAACTTGAGGTGACGTACAAAGGAACGGACCAAGTACGTGAAGCCAAGATCGACTTCCTCACCCAAGAGTATGAGATGTTTAGAATGAAGGAGCACGAAAACATCGACGACATGTTCGATCGATTCTCCAAGATAGTCAACGATCTTCATACTTTGAAGAAGACCTACACCGATAGGGATCTTGTGCGAAAGATCCTACGGAGCTTGACATCCGAATGGCGATCTAAGGCCGATGCCATCTATGAGTCAATCGGCACATCAAATGTCACCATCGACGGTTTAAGAGGTAACTTAAAAACGTATGAATCTACTATACTTAACCCGTCTTTGAATGACCAGAGAAAAGGCATAGCATTAAAAGCCTCGAAAGAACCGACAATGAATGACTCAAGCGATGATGATGAAGTCAAGCTTGTCATGAAGAAGTTTTGCAAACTTCTAAGAAATAAAGAAAAGGTTGAGGATGGCCCTGTGTGCTATGGATGTGGTGAAGCCAGGCACATCAAGAACAAATGCCCGAAAAAACACTCGCCGTTTCAAAAAGCACAGAGCATATATCTCATGGGGTGGCGACTCCGGCGACGAGTAAACTGATCAAGAAGAGGAGGAAGCCGCCAACCTCTGCCTCATGGCGCATGAAGATCAAACCGACGTCATTCAAGAGGTATGTACCATTTCTTCCGACTCTTATACTTTTGAAGAAATGCAAGAAGCACTTCATGAGCTTTATGACGAATTTGTTAGCGCTTCTAAAACCAATAAATCACTAAAGAAACATCTTTCAACCCTTGAAAATGATTTTGAAAAGCTGGAAAAAGATAATGAAAGGTTGAAACAAGAAAACAAATTTTATGGTAAAAGAAGCGCTGACAAACCAGAAAGTTCTTCAAGTGAATGTGAATCTTGCAAAATCTTAAAAGAAAAGGTTGCAAAACTTGAGAGTACGGTTAAGAAGTTTAATACACCACACAAAGATCTTAATTTACTCCTTGACACTATGCATTTTTCTAAGGAAGGAATAGGTTTTGATAAAAATAAATCTAAAGTTAAAGAAAACGTTGAGCCACCATCTAGACAACCACCTAAGGCTCAACGTAAGAAACCCAAAAATCAGGATAATAGGAAACCTAGTCAACGTAAGGACACTAGACAACCTAGACTAAAACCTAGGAATGAAAATGTTCATGGTAGACAACCTAAGAAAAATGATTTTGTGCATAATAATTTTTCTCAAAATAGGAGAAATAACATAAGGACACCTAAAAACGATTCTATTAAAAACATGCATAAAACATCCTTTTCTCAAAATAGGATGAATATGGTTAGACGACCCCCTAGCTATTATCAACCTAGGCATATGTTCAACCCAAACGTAGTATGCCATTATTGCAATAGGGTAGGACATATTGCTCCCGTGTGTTTTACTAAATATAGGCATCTCACCTATAATGAAACACACAACATATTTGGTGCTAACGAGAAAAAACCCTTTAAAAAAGGATATTCGTATCATAAACCATCTCCACAGGCAAATGCACAAAAGAAACCTTACTATTTCTTCTACTTTGACGAAAAGAAGAAAATCCACATTCCGTTACCGGAACCAACACAAATCACACCGAGATATCGGCATTCCGTTCAGGTAGACTGGAACCCGCCAACCACGAGACGACGGGTTGGCCAAGGTGGCTCGTTCACAAAATCAGGGGGAACCATGCAAACAGCGATGTAAGAAGCACAACATCACTGTTCCTACAGCGCTGTCCAGGAGACCAACATTGCTATTGAAGAAAACAGTGTCAACCAACTTGGGACAACAGCGCTGTACCATACACCAACAGCGTTGTCACAGGGAGTCTTCCTATTCTTTACACTTTATAAACATCGATGTAGCATATCTAAACATCGCTGTCTCCCTAAACACCATGTTTTCAAGCAAAACCAGAAAGTTTCTCAACAGCGATGTCCACCATTGCAACATCGCTGTTCATTTGTACAGATTTTTTCTTCTCTATCGTAAAACAGCGATGTAGAGATACCCAACAGCGTTGTTCTAATGGGTTCAACCCCTTACACAATTCCAGAATGATTTGGAACATCGCTGTAGGGAACCCAACATGCTGTCCATTTAACACTTGTTTTTAAAACTTGACGCATAACAGCGCTGTCCAGAGGCTCAACAGCGCTGTCCCAACAGCGATGTAGCCTTTGGAACATCGCTGTTCTGGATAAATTTTTCAAAAAAAATATCCGTTGGCACCAGCATTAATTGATCCAACAGCCATGTTTTTGAAAATCTAGACGTTGGAGACCTCCTTCTCTATAAATTGGGACCTCCTCTCTTCACTTTTACACACAAGAACACAATTCTCGTCAACATCTTTGCTTATTTCATCATCTCTACTCTTTTCTCTTAAGTTTTCTTATCATGGGAAAGGACAAGAGCAGGGCTGCCACCTCTGGGAAATCAAAGTCCAAATCCCGGGCGCCTACGACATCCACCGAGGAACGCCTCTACTATGGTGACGGGTCATACCTTTGGTTTGATTCTGAGGAGGAACGCACCTGTTTCCTCACCTTCTTCTCTAAACGGGTTGTGGCTCCTCCACGGATCATCCCGGAGCGCTACCCGGAGCTGCAGGGCTACGACGACCTCGACGCGCAGCTCCATCGGGCCGGCCTTTGGCCTTTCATCTCCCGGGCTCGGAAGGAGATCAACCCGTCGCTGATTCGGGTCTTCTACTCCAACCTTCGGCGTGAGGGCGACATGCTCTATTCTCTTGTCAAGAGCATGCCGATAGAACTTTCAATTGAGCAGCTTGGGCGCATCGCCGGCCTCCCCTACCAAGGTGACGACGTCTCCCTCTATGGCGGAGAGGACTGGGTGCTCAACAACGAGGGCCTTATCCTCACCGATCTTGGCATCACCGACCTCATCCGCCATGCCTCGGGCCGCCCCACCATCCACTCCGCTAACCCTGAAGGCCGTCTTCTTCTCTACATCGTCTCCCGGATCATCAAACCCAGGAAGCACGGCCACACCATCATGTCCGGTGAAGATCTCAAGCTCATCCATGCGATCATGCACTCGGCCCCAATCAATTGGGCAAAGTTTGTCATGATCAACATGACGATTGCCGCGTCCAGCGACCACGATCACTTCCTCCCGTACCCGTTCGTGGTGATGGACATCCTTGAACGGTTCAAGGTGACCACCACCGTTGGCCCACTCACAAAGGCCACGAAGATTTGGGTGATCAGCACCCAAACCTTCAAGAAGCATTCAGACAACGCCGGACCTGCCACTGCCGTGCAACGGCCGCGTTCTGCTGCTGGCCCAGCCGAACCCCAGGCCCGAGCCAACCTTGCCTCCATTGCTGACTCCCTCAACCGGCTGCACTTCAAAGTTGATGGGATGGATGGCTACCTTGAAAGACTTGACGAGGCGGTCCAACGCCAAGGGTACGCCATGAACGCGTACTTCCAACGCGTTAACTACGTCCCCCCACCGTACCATGGCACGTTCTTTGGGCAGGTGTACGGTGACAAGGATGAAGACGATGCCTCCTACGACCCGTCAAGCTCCCCGGACGAGGACGAGTTTGACGACGCCATTGACGGTGATGAGATGGACGTCGACGACGACGAGGAGGAAACCGAAGACGAAGACTAGGACGCCCCTAGAATTTCTATCTCTTTTATTTTTTTTATCCTGTTTTTTTTTTAATGCTTCTGTTGTACTCCGCTATTTCCCTTTTTCAATAAATAAAAGTTATCCTCTATCTTTTTGTTAATGTCAAAAGGGGGAAGAAAAGGGTTATGCATACACTAAGGGGGAACGTCCCTAAAAACGGGATCGTTTGATTTTAATATGACAATTTCTTTTTTTAAGCACAAATTAAGGGGGAACTTTTTCACTCTTTTCAAAGTCAAATATACCTTAGTATGCATATTCCCGTCTTGTTTGCCATTATCAAAAAGGGGGAAATTGTTGGAACACGGGTTTACGCCTATGTCGTACTAAGCCGTGTTCGTTTTATGACAGGTTTTGATAATGCCAAACCGCCGTGCCGCCGTGACAATAACAAGGTTAAACTGAGCAAAACCAAGGCGAAGGAACATGGCATGATGAACTGAGAACCAAGAACCAAGAATCAAGAACGAAGACTTAGAATTGTATTGAGTCGGTTTTAATGTGATCAAGACCGGCACAAACCTTCAAAACATGGCTCTCTAGGCTCATTTCATCAAAATATTTTTTGCATATTCAAAATGCTTTTCTTAAGTCTTAAACCTGCCTGAAAACACTTGGAGTTCGCCCAAACCAAAAACCAAGCCATCCGGCATTCGGTCTTCGGAAACCGGCGTTCAGCTTTCGGTTATCGGCGTTAGTTTTTGGCGTTCGAACCAACCAAGTGGTTTTCAACTTTTAATGATTAGTTTTTACTTCTAGGCATATTTAAATAGTTCTCCAACAAAAACCAAACAAGTATTGAACAGCGATGTAAGGACCTGACCGTTGGAAGGAATTTAAGGCTAAAACTTTCCTTGTTTGGAAGTCAACAGCCAAAACAGCGGTGTAGGAGTATTGGACATCGCTGTTGGCATGACCGTTGCTTCCCAATTTTCAAAACCAAAACTAGAACAGCGATGTCTAAGCCTAGGACAGCGCTGTCTAGAAGATTTTCAGCAGACCCAATTTTAATCAAATCCCACAAATTGTGCCAATCACCCATTAAATGTTTTGATCCGTTGGAGCCTATTTTTCCACTTTAAAATGGGGTGTTTGGGTCTGTTTTTAACAACACATAACTTCACAACCCCTATTCTTTCATTGCATATTATTCATACATTATTCATAGCTTTTCGAGAGCCATTTTTGTGAAGTTTGTGTTGTGATCTTGAGCGTATTACTTTACTCATATTCACTCTTTTGAGAGAGCCTTGTTCTTGAGTGTTCTTAGTGTTCATAGACATTAAGGGAAGGTATTTTTCCTTCGGGTTGAAGTCTTGGAGTGCGGAATCTCCAAGCAAGTGTATTGAGGCTCGTGGGACTCGAGTTCTCAGGTTGTAACGGTTTGTTAAGCACCCGTAAGCTTAACGGAAGTAGTGTAGCTCGAGAGAGTCTCTCGGGAGGCTGGATTAGCCACAAGTTGTGGTGAACCAGGGTAAAATCGGTGTGCCTCTTACTCTTCTCTTTACTTCTCGTTTATTCATTTTTTATTCCTGCGATTTTTTATCAAACGCTATTCACCCCCCCCCCCCCTCTAGCGTTAGTCTCTTATTCTAACAATTATTGGGGTTGGCTCTAGATGTATGCAAGACGTTACGGTACTTGCACGTAGATGCCAATTACCCCTTTTGTTTCCTTAATAGGAACAATAGGTACTTTTATGACTCCGCACTTGCAATAGTTGAATGAAGTTTCTTTGTTTTAGTAGATATTATAATTGGCTAGTCCCGAACTCCTCGGTACATCATCTCTTGCCCTAAATTCCTGCGTTTTTACACTCCTTCACACACCTCTTTAAAGCACAATTTATTTACCAAGTCCCTGTGGAAATCGACCCGGTCTTACCGGTTTTATTACTACATCAGGCTTTTGTATACTTGCAAAATACCTGCGATCATCGAGCCGCGCTCACAGTTCTTGGTCTTGTGTTGGGCGAACAACAATACTACTAACGGACCAGAACACTGTTTCATCGTACATGTGATTGGCTTTGGCACGTACCACATGCACAACTACTTTAGTTAGGGGGAAGCCCAATTAAGTCATAGAGACCCAACATTTGGCTGAATGAGTGAGTAAAGTAATTTGACTTGTCAGTATAGTGACCTCAACAAAAACCACCTCTAAGTCATCCATCCATTTGACTGAGACTCAGTTAAGTCTAACCCAACGTCTTACAATGACCACTTTAGAGATTCCTGTGACCAGCATAACATACACCGTACTACGCTCTGCTAGGGCTGAGTACGTGATAGTGTGTAACATCCTGAAAACCAGCTTAATAATTTGCCGGTATTTTATTAAAAATAAACATATTATTTATTAACTTCAAAATGTAAATTATTTGTAAAGTTGACCATTTTAATTAAAAATTAGGTTTTCTAGTAGATCGCGTAAAATGGTGATCAACTATATATAATTTGTTAAATTTGGGTTTCGTGTACACCGTGATAAAGAAAATAGACGTTACAGTTCAATAAATAAAATAAAGAATTTTTAAAATAAAATATTATAAATCTAATAACCTACGTCCTATTCATATGCCATGTGGGAAGTCTAATAGTCACCCAAACATACGGTTATATACTTAGACCTCTGCAGCGTTTCATCATGTTCCTCATTCTTCTCTGCGCGTCGGACCGGAGTCAGGGGAGTTACGGCGAAGTTGTCGCCAGAGTTTCAAGGCGAGAAATTTGAGTCCTTCGTCGGTTAATCGAGGTGACTGAATTATCTCCCGTTAAGATTGATTCATGGATTAGGATTCATTAATATATCTTCATTCAATTGACATTGAATTTGTAAATATGATTGTTGAAATTGGGTGAATGATTATGTTGAATTGAATTTGGAATTGGGTTTAGAATTGGAATCTGGGTTTTCTTCTGCTTCTTCCTTGCATCTGTCCGAACACTGCTCCGTTCTTCTGCTCTAGGTTCAAACGCCGCTGTCACCGCCGAGTAGTTGAGTCGTCGTCGTGTCTTCCACCGTCGAGGAGGCTGCAGCCATGTCGGAGGAGTTGCTGCCGCTGTCATGGTAGTTGTCATCGAGGGAGGGCTGCCGACGGTGGATTTGGGTTTACCGGATCAGGAATTGGATGTTAACTTTGAAGTTTGCACAGTGACCACTCAATTTCCAAATTCCTTACTTGGACATTAATGGACTTGTTATATACTCCGTAATTTGGTGATAATATATGTTGAGCTCAATTTGTAAATTGATCAATCTAGTACAATGAATCTAAGTTTAATTAGATATTAGAAATTAAGGTCATGCGGGTGACGTCGTACACCCGATGGTCTCGAGGGTTAAAAACGTGTGCATGGTGGTCATTGACCCCTGGCGAGAGCCAGCGGGGGCCTCAACCCCCTCCATTGTGAGAACTTTGGAGTTATGAGTGTGGGTTTGGGCGAGAGCCTGGATTCAATTACTCCCATAAGTATGAATTGGATTTTATCTAGCAGGCACATAGAGTGAGTATGCGTAAGAACTAAACTGAATTATAAGAGGAAATAGTGGTACAGTTGGATAATGATATTTGGTGATTCATCTGATATTCTTTGATTATATATTAATGGGTACTAGTCTATGTTAGTTTTAGCGTTAGATACTTCCACTCTCCCTATTTTCACAGGTAGGGATCAAGGATTGGATGAGGAGCAGCCTGGAGGACAGTGAAGCGTGAAACTGGTGGATGGCCGAAGTTGTTTTATTTAAATTAAATATAGATTGTTGAATTTGTTTATTTAAATTACTAGAATGTTGAATGTTGTTTTTAAAGGCTTCCGCAACGTTCCAGTTATTTACTCTGATTAAACAATGAATTGTTTTTCAATAACTATGAATGTTTATTTTATTTCTAAGTGTTTTTAAAATATTATGCATGTAAATACCAAATTGGTGACAACCCGATTCGCTAACTCGTTGGTTCGGGTTACGCGGGTTGGGGTGTCACATAGTGCACATTAGCCGGAAAGGTGTCGGGTACCGGGAAGCAATACAGACTTAATATTTCGAGGGATTTTAAGTTTTACGATATCACCCACGACACATGCCGCGCACGTGTCAATTTACTAGCATTAAACATACATTCACATGCATTCAAAATACGCAGTAAAAACATGTAATGATTGTGGCCCCTAAAGGAAAATAAACGATAGCTCCCACTGACTTTCAAGCACTTGGACTTCGGTCTATCTCCATTCCTTTAGATTCCCTCAAACGGACTTCAAATCTTTTATCTTCTAACCACCACGTGAGAAAAGAATCCTCGGTTGAGGTAATAGAGAAATAGATTTACAACGAGAGTTTAAGCGATAAGGCACGACACGCAGGCCGTATTATAATCAAATAAACTATAGCCACAATCATCCACCATGCATATCATACATCCATACAGGCAATAGAGATATACATACATCGGGCGAACCACGCTCGCCCCAGACAATTCTAGAAAAGTACTACGTTGGTAATATTTTCAAAAATTCATAAAGTGGTCCAAAACTTATGAATTTTTACATAGTCATCCTAAATACATTAGGTGACTTTCGGCCAGGGTCAAAACTAGAAGAAAAATTCTAGTAGATACAAAATTAATGAAATGCCCCTTTGCCAATTTTATTTTGAAAAATCCATTTAAATTAGAAATGAATTTTAAAAAATGATGAAAATTTATTTTCGACTTCCAGTAACTATTTTAGACATTTATAATACTGAAAAATAAATTTCAAGAATTTATAAATATTTATTTCCCAAATATATTAATTATATCTCAATAATTGAGAAAACAATTTTAAATAATTTTTCAAAAATAATTAAATTATAAAGTTTAATATTTAGAAAAATCAACTTACTTTTTACTGAGATATAATTTTCCAAAATGATATTAGCCATTTTCAATTTATATATATATATATATATATATATATATATATATATATATATATATATATTACTCGGTAATATATATATACCGAAATATATATTTAATTAATTACTAACTAATATTGATTTGTCCAATATATTTATGAACAACTTTATTTCACCTAGAATAATATTTCCAAGTTTTATAAAGATCATTTTTGAGTTTCCAATATTTATTTAAGATTTATTGGAATTAAATCTAAACAAATACAATTAACTCAAAAAAGTGAAATAAACAATTTCGAAAATTACAATATAATTTTACTAACCATAAAATGAAATTTTATGTTCAATAAAATTATATTAACAATTTCGAAATAAATATATTAATATATATATTCGAAATTTCCGAATATATGTATAAAATACATATTTTCGGCACAAATAAATAATGAATATTTATTTCAATGATTTACTTAAGTCCAATATTTATATCAAGACTAAAATAAATCATTTTACTAATTTTCGAAATTAACGAATAATTACCAAAAAAATAATTTTCAACCGAAAAGTTCTACGAAAAACTATAGTTTTGTACGTTTGCTCCGATACCACTAAAAGGTAACCATGGTTGGGAGGGCAACGGAAACACAAAATTTTAATCTCCCAATAGTGATTACTAACCCAAGAATATGTACTAAAATTATAGCTATAGATAGAAACTTATACCTTCTCTGGTAAAGCGGTAATGACGTTGGATCGACGAAAGGCGTTGAATGAGCAAACGTAGCCGTTCAAGCGTCCGGCCTCCAACTTTCACACACGAACAATCTCCAGAGTCTACCCTAACACTTGTGCTAGCAAGTGTTAAAGTAGTATATTAAATATAAAGATCATTTTATGGATAATCTTAAGCTTGTATATTAAATACTAGAAAATATATCAATAATATTTTAAAGAAAATATTATATCAATTTTCTACACCCAAAATAATAAAATTTTGGAACCCAAATATTCTTCTCCCCTATTTCTTCTCTTGGCCGAATTACTTCCATCATGGAGTGGTGAAGATACATTAACTTTATTAAAGTAAAAGGAACATTGATGATCATAAAATGACAAAAGGGTTTTTTGTCAAGATCACCTCCTCCACTTAATTTACAAAGTGGGAGACAAGCTAGCTCCCCACTTATGCATGTTGTACGAAAAGGGTGAAGTGGGGAAGAATTTTAATTCTTCAAATGTTTAAAGTGTATTTTATTTGACATCCATAATTTTATGATATAAAATAAAATACCCAAAACATTTTATAACAAGTATATAAAATATACTTTAAAATAGTTTTTGTCAAAATAATTATTTTCATAATTAAAATGACACTCCAAAATAAAATGTACACAATATAATATATAATGTAATATATATGTGTGTGTGTACACGGCTTGAACATTACATATACATATACACACATACATTTTAGTTTAGTATATGTGTCTGTGTGTGTGGCGTGTGTACTATGTGTGTGTGTGTGTATATATATGTGTGTGTGTGTGTGTGTGTGGCGTGTAAAATGTATATATACATATATATTATATTAAACATTTTATTTTTACTATTTTACAATATACAAATTAAATATTATCCCTTCTTATAATCTTACTCTTTAAATTGTCCAAAGTGTGTGACTTATATAGGCACTTATAAAACTGGTCAGAGCATTGACTCTACACCAATACCATAAGTAATAAGTAGCACTACAAGAATTTGTCTCGTCTGCAACGGAAATCTGCTACAGACTCATTTCCGTAGCAGATCTGCAACGAATCAGCGACGGAGTTGAAATCCTTGAAAAAAAACATAATCTGCGACGGACCCTATTTTTCCGTCGCAAATTAGCGACGAATTATTTGTGGCTGTCGCAAATTTAAGTTGGTCAATTTTTGACCTGATAATCTGCGACGGAGGTATATATCCGTCGCCGATCCGTCGCAGCTTCTAAAGTGATAATCGATATTGAAATTTTCCCAGCCATTCGTCTTTCACTTCAACCCTATCCCGTCTCTCTCCCGGTCAGCCGTCCTGCGAACGCCACTCCTCCGCCAGCCTTCAACGCCCTTCCTCGCTGCCGACCTACGTTCTCGCCAGCCACGCCAGCCCTCCTGCCACGCCGTCCCGCCCAGCCCCGCCAGCCACGCCGTCTTCCCCAGCCACGCCATCATCTCCAACCGCTCCACCAGCCGTCACCACCCGCCCACCAGCCGTCGCCACCCGTTGTTGACGCCGCTACACGACAGCCGTTTCTCTTCCCCGCCGGACATCCTCTGCATCTTTGCCGTAGGTATTTGTGTTTAATTTAATTTTTGGTGAAATTGAATTTCTTTGTGTGAAATTGAGTGCATTTTGGTGAAATTTACTTAAATTGTGTGTATATGAGATGAAATTGACATGAAGTTGGGTAAAAATTGTATTACTTTTTGGTTAAAATTTTAATTAAAATTGTGTTAGTAAATTTGACATTTATTGTGAATTTAGGTAAACTTTAGTTGAATTTTGTGAAATTTAGTGTATAATATGTTCATATCTATAGTTAAATTAGTGTTGTTTGTGGTTTAATCAAATTGTCGTTTGTTAGCCGTCTTTATTGTAGGTATGGTTTGTTGGTATAAATGTCATTGATATTCTTGGCTAAATGATTGTTGTTTGTTGCCTTTCAATTACCATGCATTTCTAGAATGAGTCCATTCAAAAATCGTGAATTGGGCATATGTTTCTAAACCTTTGATATGGTTTTAGGTACCTCAATCGCCTTAAAAGAATGGTGAAAAATAAGGATCGCGTAGAAGGTTCCATAGCCAATGCGTATTTAGTCCGAGAGGCATCCTACTTCTGTTCTCATTACTTTGAAGAACACGTTTACACGCGAGCAAGAAATGTTCCTCGTAATGACCCTGAATCACGAGAAGGTGTTGATGTTACAAATAATGAGATTTTTGACATATTTCAATCACCAGGACGGTTACAAGGGAAAATGCGTAAAAGGCAACTTACTCCGGAGGAACTAAAAGCCGCACACCATTACGTACTCTTTAATTGTCCGGAGATTGATCCTTATATTACGTAAGTACTTACATTTGCTTGGCATCGAATACAAATATTGTTTTGTAATACACCTGTAGAGATTTAACAAATGTATGTCAGGTTGTGCGCAAATGAGATTAAAGAGTCTACATCACAGATTAGTGAAGAATCCCTGTTGAAACGTGTAGAGGAGACGTTTGTAAATTGGTTCCAGAAACATGTAAAGTTATTATTTTTATTTTTTTGTATAATATATGTGAGGTAATACATATGTGCGTGACTATTTTCACATCATCTTCAGGTAGAGAATGATAGGTCTGTCCCGGAAATAATCAGTGATGTGGCCAAGGGTCCCTTATCATTTGCCAAGTTATACCCAATATACTTTGTAAACGGCTACTGCTTCCACACAGTAAAACATGGTTCAAAGCGTGCGGTGTACAACAGTGGCCCTTGTACGTCAGGTATGGAACTCTCCTCTTAGAGATTAATGTAGTAGAAGTTTCAACGGATAATCAATTAGAGTGATGTTTCATTTATCACGAAACTGAAACTTAATGTCTAAGCTTGTTCATAGTTGTTTTTAATGCATGTATTATTGTGTTATTGTGTTAATATCATCTAGGGTGGGGGAGAGTATTGAGGATCAGGAGGATGGAGTTGGCGATGACCATGACTTCGAGGACTGCTTTGGCAAGGGACGCAGTGGCGGGGCGCGTGATGGTGAGGACGAGGTCCACGATAATGTGGACCAACAGGGTGGATATCATGAGGGTCCCAGTCATCACGGTCAGTTTGTGTATGTCAGTTCGGATGACGAGTAAGTATTCTACTACATTTGAAGATTATGGTTACATGTTTGTAGGGTTACATGTTTGGAGTAAGTAATCTACGTGTATGGTTACATGTTTTAAGTAAGTAATCTAACGATTTTATGCTCACCACTTATACATGTTTGTAGGCTTACAATCACTAGAGCTGGTGCTGCGCTCATCACACCAGCATTCTACGAGAGGACGGACGCGACTGGCTTTTCGTGGGGCAAAGTCTCAAAGACAACGAAGGAGTTCTACTTTCGAGAGTTCAAGGTTTTTTGGAAAAATTACTCTTTAACTTGTTTCGATCACAAGAAAATTAATATATATATATATATATATATATATATATATATATATATAGATACATACATACATACATATATATATATATATATCTATATATATATACATATATACATATATATATATATACATATATATATATATACATACATACATATATATATATATATCTGTGTGTGTGTGTGTGAATACAATCTAAGTTATTGACTTTTCTATGATGTCAATGTAGAAAAATGCTCGAGTGGATCCGTCCATTGATGAGGGCATGCTGAGGAAAGCTTTTTTCAGGAAAGCTGCTGAACGGTACGCGAGTTATACGTACAATCAAAGGAACCCAACTCGATTGAAAAAGAAGAAGATGGACCCTCGGCCACTTGAGCAGTTGAAGAAGGTAAATTATAAGTTTGGAGCATATGTTTGGAGCATATGTGTATAAATCGCTATGTACAAGTAATGTTTATGAAATATACAACTATAGGTTTGGGAAGAGGATCCAGAGTTTTTGGAGTTGAGTAAGACGAAGAAGAAGAACAGAAGAAAGGGAAAAGAGGATGGTCCTGCTCTTGGGACTTATTGCGGAGGTACAATTCCATTTTCTGAAAATATGAATCGATTGGTAAGATATATTTTATAAAATAATAGCTTTGCACTTGTTATTCGGTGGACACTAAATTTAAAATGTAATGGAAATGTTCATTGAAACTTGAAGGCTAAGAAGAAAGGGGCGCCTGTGCAGTTGGATGAGGTTATCATCCACACAAAGACAAAGAAGCACGATGGCAAGACTTGGGTGGATCCAGGACATGCTGAGCTACAGGTACTTTCCACAATTTGCAAAATAGTTTGGGTTCATGCTCATAATGTTGTTGTTTTTGTCTTTAAGCTTCTAAAGGGTGATAATGTAGTCGCTTTCTTGTGTATTTTTATTGTTTTGGTTGACGTTATTCTTACTGTTTATGTTATTGTTAATTGTGTTGTTATTATTGTTGTTACATTGATGGTGTTGTTGTTGACATATGATACTATTTTTGTTGTTGCGTTGATGGTGTTGTTGTTGTAGGGTTGACACTACTTTTATTTTTGAGTTGATGGTGCTGTCATCACTAGCTAGATATTATGTTTCTTATCGATCCATGATAATGTTGTTAAGTTCTTGTGTTGTTATTGTTGTTGTTGTCATATGACACTGATTTTGTTGTTGCGTTGATGGTGTTGTTGTTGTTGTCATTTGACCATGACTTGTGTTGTTTGATGTTGTTCATGTTGTTATTGCTGTTCTTGACACGCTATTATAGTTACGTTGTTATTGTGTGTTATTAAGTATCATATATTGCAGGCACAATTCTTCGAACTGCGCGAGGAGGCTAGACAAAATGGACTTAAAGTCACCGACGAAGAAATATGGTACTCGCTAGTCGAGGGCCATAACGCAAAGAACCGTGTTCCTGGAGTTGGTGACTATGCACGGGAAATGAAGAAGATCAATCCGTCCTCCAAACCTCGCCGTTCCAGCACTAGTAGCAGCAGTGCGGCAGAGATGGCAGCACTTAAAGAGCAAAACCAAACTTCTCGCTGACGATTCAGGAGGAAATAAGGAAGTTATATGGTGGTAATCTTCCTCCACGAGGCGATGACGATGGAATGGGAGGGGCGGGACAGCCTGGGATTTGTTGACATCTTTGACATTTGAAACAAGCACTTTAATATTTCGTGTTTTTACAAGATTATGAATTATGTTACATTTGCACGTGAAGGTTTAATTAATCTCGTTTTGAATTATCTATTCCGTATTGAAATTTTGTTTAGAATTATGCGTGTGAAATTTGAATGTGTTGCCCCTGCTACTGCCTAAAAACAGAAAAAATAGAAAATGATGGTGCTGTGCTCAAGTTGTCTGCGACGGAAATTCTTGTTGCTACGTTTTGTTGCCTGTCTGCGACGGACATCCCCGTCGCAATTTCCGTCGCAGATCTGCGACAGTTTCAATACTTCCGTCGCAGATTTTTGGGGTGAAAAAGACGAAGGTACCCGTTGCAGGTCCGTGGCAGATCTGCCACGGAATCTTATTTCCGTCGCAGATTTTCAATCTGCCACAACTTTTCTACGACGGAAAATATTCGTTGCAGTTCTGTTGCAGATTGCTAATCTGCCACGAAATTTCAAAATCTGCCACGGAAATTGTCCGTTGCAAATTTACAGTTTTCTTGTAGTGTAGTATCTAGCAACACATTATTACCCCCAGATTATAAGTTCAGATGTTTGCTCCGTCAAAACCTTTCTACGACTAAGACTTTGTATAACGTAGATCCTTTTGTCCCAATGTCTTAACTTAGTGCAAGGGATATATAAAATATCCAACTTGTAGCCATTAAGTTATTTACTCATTAACAAGTCTCACTGATGAGAACAGATGTTTAAACTCATCTCAGCATGGCTATGCATTTCCTCAGTCATACTTATCAGTGGGCCCCTACAAGACATTATTCTGCTTAAGTAGCAGTGACAAATTCTTTGTACGTAATCTACGTCTTCGAATACAAAGCCTGTGTACCATCCTTATTTCATACGACTTAGGATAACGAATCAAAGCATACGGGTTCACGCATTTCAAGAATGTAATACTTCAAGTCTAAGGATCGTTATACCAATAGTCGCATTAAGGACACTTAGAGCATAGACTAAAAGTCTAGGTAATGTTCTTAAGGTGGGTCAGGTCTGGCATCCTATTAGTAACGATAATATCTACCCAAGAGTAGATGCGAACACTCCGTCATTGACCAAGAGACTAGGTCAAACATCTAACTCTCACTAGTCTCACATGCAATAAAGATATCCCACTCTCGTTAATGCTTCGACTATAGACCATTTAGAATTATACTAAGTGACAAGATGACAGACTCAACATCAGAAGACTCATTCTGATAAACATCTTATAATATAATTCTAGGAATGTAATTAAGAGTTTACATTAGCATGAGATGTTTGTAAACTTATTACATCTGCCTTTACATGATAGAAAATATCTAAGATATTACAACAGCAGTTGGCCATAAGGGCACCAACTCCAACAGGTCCCACCTCAGGTTCCAGACCAGTCAGTTCAACTGGGAAGTCGGCCAGGGCTTGGCCCTTGATCGCAGTTCAAGGTTTATAATTGATTTTGAACTGGGTGAGCATCATTGCCCACTTGATCATCCTTCCCGAAGAAGTTGAGTTGCGGAGGACTGGTCCAAGTGGCTCATCGGTCAGTACTTCTACTGCGTGAGCTTAGAAGTACGCAGTCAGTTTCTTGGCCGTTATAAAAGTGCATACACCGTTTTTTCAATTGCAGTGTACTGGCTTTCTACCCCGTTAAGTGCTTTGCTCACATAGTAAATAGGCCTTTGGCCATCTTCATTCCTTATCAAAACCAAACTTACAACATTTTGGGATATCCGCCACGCTCCAAGCGAATATGTCAGCATACTCCCGAAGGACTGAGATGATCTCTTCTCGAAGTCCCTTGGGCAAGTCCTGGCCCGTCCTTACCATTTTTTCTGGGAATGCCTCCCAGAAAACAATCTCTCGGTTTCGTCGCCTGGTTCCAACTTTGACCGGTCTTCCTCTTGAGAAACCAGGGTGACCCTTTCGAATGCCTTTGTCATCTTTTTTACCACTTCAAGATAACATGAACGGGATTTCTTATGGTCTCCTCTGACTTGTCCTATACCGCCCAGCGTATAGAATTTCATGCACAAATGGGCCATGGAGATGATCCCACGAACTTTGTTAATTCCTGGCCGGCCCAGGATGGCATTGTGAACACATTTGATGTTCACTACCACGAATCTCATCTGTTTTTGAATGACCTAGTCCCCCGTGCCCAACTCACATGTCAAGAGGATCGTCCCTTCAGCTTCTACAGAATCTCCGGTGAACCCGGACAAAGGAGTTTTCAATGGTTCAAGCCGTGTTCGACACAGCTTAAGTTTTTCAAAGGCCTCCAGGTACAACACGTTGACACTACTACCAGTGTCTACGAGTACCCGGGAGACGTCAACTCCACCCATATCCATGGTTATAACCAGAGGATCACTGTGATCTTCCCCTGTGATGGAAAGATCCCGGTCAGTGAAGGTGACCGGCTCCCATCTGGCTTGTTTCCGCCGGGGGTCAAAGGCAACTGAACCCACATAGATTTCATGCCCCCACTTCTTCCTTTGAGAAGCAGAATCCCCTCCTTCTGGCCCGCCATAGATCATCTTCATGTGTTCCTTACCGGCTGCTTTCTTTTTCTTATTCTGGTCGGTCGGTTGTCCTTCAGGCCGGACCCACTGGTTGTTCTTCTGTTTTGCCTGGGCTAAGTACTCATGATCAAGTTCCCCGGCCTCGATCATTTGCTTTATCACCCCCTTAACACTATTGCACTCAGCAGTGTTATGGGAGTAAGTTTTGTGGAAGGAGCATTATTTTTCCGTCCACTGCTTCTCCCCGATTGGTTTCTTCTCCACCTTTTCTGGTTTTACCTCCATTACCTCGGCCTTTACCTTCCGGATAAATCAATCTCTTTTTTCACTGCACTCCTTCCCCTCAGGGGACCTTGCTCCGCCTCCCTCTTGGAAGAGACCTGGGCTTTAGCATCTGCATAGTCCCAAGCCGTGTTGTAAGCCTCTTGGTAGGATTGAGGAGGCCTCCTACAGAACTCTTTGTACAACTCCCCGGAACGGAGTGCAGAGACCAGGAGGGACATTGCGGTTTTGTCGTCCATCTCCTCGACCTTGTCAACTTCATCCTTCCACCGGGTGAGGAATTTAGTTAGATCCTCATGCTCCCTCTGCCCGACCATACTCAAGTAGGTGAACTTCTTCCTCTTGTCAACTTCTAAATATTAGTGTTTAGTTGCACTCTACACTCGATTCCTAACCAATCACGCTATCCCTGTGGACTCGACATCCCTTACTTCCACCACTATACTCACAATTTACTTTTTCCACCCACCATTTTCATCTTACTTCACATCTCTTTTTGAGTGAGGTTTTTCGGTGCATAATGACACACCAAAAAGTCTCGCATCAAATGCATGATTTTTAACATATCTATATTTTACAAATATTTTGGAATATTATTTTCCTTGATGGATATTTTCTTAGATATAATTTAAAATATAAAAGTTGAGGAAAATAACAAATTGGACCTTTAGAGTGCAAAATCTATACTCCTATACAACAACAAAAGATTTTGGAATTAAAAAAGTAAAATGCCGTGTGAAAAAAACAGTTTCCCGCCCATGAATGGGCAAGTCTGGGCCGTCCATCTTCTCCCATATTAATCCACGGACAAAATATAGGGGGTCTCCATTAATTGCTCTTGGGAAAGTTCATCCGTCATCTAATTCTTTGGTAATTCTAGCCTCTACATTGAATGAAGATAAATACGGAGTATTATTTATTGCAGAGAAATAGGGCCTTTCATTTCCCCTAAAGTGAATTTAAGCCAATTACGGAGCATTAAATATATACTGATGAGATTAGTAAAACTTTATTTTTTCATTTTATTTAATTGATTGTTAAAGTGTATCTAATTTTGACTACAAAAATTATAATTAGACAAATACTTGAAGACATATGTAGTACTCCCTATATTCCTATAAACATTTCCTACTTTAACTAATGAAAGAAATGAGGAGTGTATATTTGTAGTTGACTTTCTAATTTTGCCCTTGATGTAATAGATAAAAGTAAGAAATCATTAGTAGATTATTTGTAAAAAATATGATGTGATAGGTATGCATGGTAAGATAAAATATGGGTAAAATTAATTTTTTAATAGAATGTGAATATGTTTAGGGAAAAGAGAAAAAAAATAAAAGATGAAATATTTTATAAAAACAAATGGAGTGCTTATATCTTACTCCATATGATATTTCCTATTTGTGGTTTTGATCTCACGACAAATATCTAGATATTTCAAGTATTAATGACAAAAATCTTTGTAATATATTGGGAAATTGGGAAATGTATCAACACGTTTACTTATAAAAAAAACTTTTCATTTCACTGGACTTTAATAATTACTGACCCAACTTTAATAATTACTAACCCAATAATTGTTTGAATTAGCAATAACTCAAAAACTTTTGGAATTCCACACGCATTAAATTAGTGTACATATTTAATGTTTTAAAATATTCAAAATCTAGACTTTTATATGAGTATTTCCGGTATAAATTCATTCCTTCTATCTACTTCCTGTAAAGAAAGACGTATTGGGCCAAGTCAATTTGACCTACATTCATTATTTAATCCATTATACTCCATTGCCCGTTTTGAAGCAAAGGAAAAGAAAAGAAAAAGAAGACAATCAAGCTGCGTTAATTCCAAGTGCATGAAACGGAAGAAACAAACGGAGAGCTGCGGAAGAGGTTCATTGCATAAGAGAGTCTTCGTCTCCAATCCAAACACTGCAATTTCAAATATAAAAGGTAAACCAATGCCACAAGAAAGGGACCAGATAGAAAGAGGAGAGACGGATACGGACAGAGAGAGATCGTGAACGAGAGCAGAGGCCGACCTAGGGTTCCGACCCTATGTCTGGCGATGGTGATTCCAGCGCGGCGGTCAACTATTGGTT